AACCTGGGAACCATCCCCAGTCAAGACCCTGCAGAGAAGACTCTAATACACCACAGAAAGGTCTTTGGCAGTATTTGAAGGGGACTGGGGCAAAACAGAGCAGAGACGGATGCTGCATAAAAATTAAATGTCAGATGTGACCCCAAAACAGAAGGAAGTGTTTGCCTCCATGTTGCTAGACAAAGGAATAGAAGCAGAGGACCCATCAAAAATCAAGTATAAGAACAGACCAACCCACCCAGAATAAAGCTCAGATGGGTCAAATGGGCGTTCAAATGGGTCAGAGTTCACAACCTGGGAGCTGAAAGAGCCAGCAATCAATCAGCTTGCAAGCCTGGTGTCCAGCTGGAAGCTGTGCCACGGGAGGAGAGAATAACAAATGTACCTCACTTTCAGCAGGGAAAAGGGATCTGATCTGAGGTGTCCAGGTGAAGGGAAGTTATAGAATAAGCAGGAAGAAAGATAAAATGCAATACAGATTTGCTAAAATGATTTTGTACCAAATGAGCATTTTATTTTATTATTTTATTTTATTTTATTTTATTTTATTTTATTTTATTTTATTTTATTTTATTTTATTTTATTTTATTTTATTTTATTTTATTTTATTTTATTTTATTATTTTGTTTTATTTTTCTGGCTGAGGAAAGCTTTCTGCGTTACTTTACCAGAATTTCAACAACTTATTTGATATAATTTCAGGTGTGAGCATTAATGAAAGTGAAGAGGATAATCTTTACTGCAGGCATTAAATAAAACAGGAAAATCATGTGTTATTTCAAGAAAAGAGGCATCGGTCAGTAAAAAACATTTTACTGAAGTTCCTTTTGGACCCACTTTTATAAATAACATCATTAAGGACCTTCACAAAGTGCAAGAATAAAGCTGGGAAACGCTGCCACTGCCGCTGAAAATCAAACTATTGCAGCAGGGTTGTGAAGGCTGCAAGAGCATGAAACCTCATGCTTCTGAGAGCTGATAAGCTGCTAATGAGGACTCCTGGTACAAACTAGGGTAAGAAAATGAGAAAGAAGAGCAGGCAAACCACTTGTTCATGTGCTTATTATGAGCAGTTCCACATTTGGCAGGATAAGCATTGTCCATATAAAGTACATGTGTAATTTGGGGTGTGTGTGTGTGTGTGTGTGTGTGTGTTCAGAGAAGGTCAATTAAAACCCGAAGAGGTGCAAAGGGTTAATGTGATTGGGAGAAGAAGAGGCATCTGTTTTCTGATAAGCTAAGCTTGTTTGGGCTTCAGTTTAACCTTTCAAAACGGGGTTTGAGGAGGGATAGAATTGCTGTCTATAAATACATCAGAGAATAAATGTTACCAAAAGGGCAGCCCTACACAGGAACAAATAAGTACAGTTTAATGGAAAAATCAAAGAAACACAAACACTGAGGCTATACAATAAACTCAGAGAAGTACAGGCAGGAGGCGGACCACGTACGCCGTGGGGGAGGCCACGGAGCTGCTTTTTCACAAAGAGAGATTGGACGCAGCGCCCGGGCAAGTGCTGTCTGTCCTGCTTTGCACACAGCTATAGGTAAAATCTTGCTCTGATTGCTGTAATTAAAGAGATTGGCTTCGTCATTGCTTGAGAGAGATGGTGGTGCAGCTCATTCATTGCTGTGGGAAGCATTTTCCAGCTGGACTCTCCACACTTTGATCCTGCTGCGGTCGGTGTTTGCCAGCTGCTCCTGGGGTTGCTGGCCAGCCGGGAACAGACGGACACGGGGGGGCTGAGGCTCCTGTGTGCACCTTGCCTGAAGCCAGGCTTTCTAGCTGCTAAAAGTTTTGCTATTCTGAAGTTCAGATTTGGGAGAATATCTCTTAAAATCAAAGCCAAATTGAGTTTCTTATCACTCCAGATTTTTGAGGTTTTACCGGTAGGTAGCAACGGAGGTATAAATATTATAATTGTATTTAGAAACAAAAATGTGTATTTTTAACCAATCCCTAGCAGAGCCGCAGGAATTCACAGCTCCAAAGGTGCTGCCACACCAGAGGGGTGGCCCTGGCCCAGGAAATCCCAGGGCAAGCAGTTCCTCTGGCTACCTGCTTCCTGCAGGCCGGTGGCAGTGACCAGCAGAGCACTCCAGGGACTGCCTGCAGACTGGGTCCAGCATAATCTGGAGTCTCCCCAGTCTTTCCCAAAAGGGGATTTTTGCATAAAAGTGAGCAGCTTGTAAAGTCTGAGCAGTCTGTTGGGCCTGCTTGTCTTTCGGATGCCAGCAAAAGGCAAGGTATAGAGATGGAAGTGAAACTATTGGAAGGAAACGTTTTGTGCAACTTTTGCAATTGCAAAGCAGAGTTTAATATCACATTGAATAAAAGGTTATTTTTTCAACTATTTTAACCAAAAGTCAGTAACAGAATGCAAACTGCAGGTGCCAGTGTCCGGGACTCACCCCAGTGAGTGGCACAGATCAGCTGGGTTTCATTTGGAAGTCACCCAGTGAACCCCTAAATCGTGAAGAGGCACAACAGCACTGCCGAACCGGTGCCTGCTGCTGTGTCATTAAAGGAACAATCAGCCTGCACAACAGCTCAGGAATTCATTTATATGTCCCGTGGGAAAGGATTACTGCTACAAATTTGCTACAGGCACAGAGTCACAAAAGTTCTCCTAGGGATCCAAGTCTTTCCTTAGCATGAGTTAATTTTCCTAGGAGTGACGTCTTTTTCCTAAGAATTAATCCTTTTACAAGCACTTAGAGGTTATCCCTCCCTATGGCACTGTGGCTAAAACAAGACCAGGCAGCATTTCCAAAAGCACATCCAGTCTAGCACAGCCCCATCCATCTTATGCAGCTGAGGATTGGGGAAGCTCCCACATCGGTGCTTTGTGCCGCAGACGGGATCCACGCTGAAAAGGGGTAGCCTGATCCTCTCCTCGCCTAACCAGACTCCTTCCTCCTCATTCAGGCTAACACACGTTACGAGGACCATTAATAAGACAGACTACAGGAATGTGAGAAGGAAAGGGTGTTGGAGCTGCATTTTATGGTTTGTTTCCCCCCCGCAGCCCTGTTTGCTTGAGCTTTGACAAATGAATGTCTTCCTATCTGATGGTTCAGCTTATCTGGTGTGGGGAGGAACAAGGTGGATCAGGATAAAGTCTGCAGGTTGGGAGTGCATCCATCCCACCTGCAGGTCATCGCGGGTGGCAGGGCTCACCAGAGCCCCCAGGTGCAAGGTGAGCAGGAGCCCACAGTGACAGTTTGCAAGGGATCAGCACGGCAGCTTGCTTTCCTAGCTGTCAGCTTTTTGGGAGAGCTTTCTCCTGCTCAGCACAAAGCCCAGGCCCTGCAGGAGCTCCTCTACCCCATGGCCCCATTGCAGTGACAGCAATGTCTGCGCTCAGCAGATGCCGAGCATGTTCACATCGGAAGGTGACGGGATGACCGAGGATTTGGGCTGGGAAACAGCTGGGCAAACTGGTTTAGCAGAGGCGTGGGGCCCATGGGGACATGGCACAGAGCTGGGACGCTGGCAGCGCGCAGCAGAAACGAACCCATTAACTCGTATCTTCTTGCATGGGCACAATGCTCCCCATACGTTGGAGGAAAGGAGCTGCCCCATTCCCTTCTGCGGTACACGTGAAGATATTTTTCTGGTTGGCCTCAAACTTCCTGCTACTTGATTTGGGTTGATTGTGCCGTAAATCCGCTACCCCAGGAGTAAACACAGGTTCCCCGCTCCCTGTTCCTGTACAAGCTGGGAGGACAAAGCCACGGACTTCACCTCTCCAGGCTGGGAGCTGTGCTTGCTTTGCTCCTTCCTTGTGAGGAAGCCGCTCCTGCCCCCAAACAGCCCCGGGCCCTGTGCGTGCTGTTTCTGCTTCTGTCCCCTTTGTGATGGGAGAAACAAAACCCGTGGGTAATAACCGAGAGGAGGTTTCACCAGAGATTTATACAACAGCAATATGTGTTTTTCTGCTGTTTTGTTCTTTGTTTCCTTCTTAATAATCCCTGATGTTTGCTTCACTTTGTCTTGGCAAGCAGTCAGCTGTCATCTCCACCACTCTCTGATCTCTTTCTGGCAACATCTGATTTAAATCCACCCTCGTGCAGCGTGCCCTTGCTCACACCGCCGGGGTGTTCCTTTGCGGCTACCACGGCAGACTGCAACCTGCTGCAGTGCCTGGCACTGCCACCGCCTCCTTGAACTCTTTGGTCTTTTTCTGCCCTAAATTAGCATCGCAGCTAATTCCGTCCTGTCGCTGCCCGGGCAGACGTCCCTCGCTGACAATGGGGGATGAGGGCGTCCCTCAGCCCAGCTCTGGGGGAAGACACCCAGCATCGAGGATGTCCCTCACCCCATTGCTGAGGGGGTCCCTCACCCCACAGATTAAGACGTCCCTTGCTGTTCCCTTGTTAGGCACTGGAACAGGCTGCCCAGGGAGGTGGTGGAGTCATCATCCTTGGAAGTCTTTAAAAGACGTTTAGATGTAGAGCTTAGGGATATGGTTTAGTGGGGACTGTTAGCGTTAGGTCAGAGGTTGGACTCAATGATCTTGAGGTCTCTTCCAACCTAGAAATTCTGTGATTCTGTGTGAGCACGTCCCTCATCATGTTATTGAGGGAATCCTTCACAGGGAAGCTCAAAAACATCCCCCAGGGCCTCTCACCCTGTCAGCGAGGATGTCCCTCACCCCGTTACTGAGGGGGTCCCTCACCCCCTTACTGAGGGGGGGACAGATATACTGAGCGTGCCCCTCACCCCATTAGCGAGGGAACCTCTCACCAAGAAGCTAAAAAGCCCCTCACTGAATACACCCCTCGCTGAGCACACCCCCACCCCCATTTTTGAGGAAACCCCCCTCTTTACAACCAAAACCCCTCCCCCAGCCCCTCATGCCCCCACCACAGGGCGGGGTGGGGGAACACACGGAGCTTCCCCCCCCTCCCTCCCCTTCCCCTCCCCACCTCTCAGTGCCCCCCGCAGCTACCGGGGGGCAGCTACCGGGGGGCAGCTACCCCGGACCCCCCCCAGACCCCGCCGCCGGCCTCCCGGGGGTGCCGCGGGTTCGAGTCCCGGTGCGGGGGGCGGCGGCGGCGGCTCACCTGTGTGTGTGTGTGTGCCGGGCGGCGGCAGACTTTGGCTCCAGCCTCTATAAAAGGTAACGGCGGCGTGAGCCAGGGCCGCCTCTTCCCCCGCCCGCTCTCACGTACGCGCTGCCGCCCGGAGCAGACCGCGGAGCCGCCGTCCCGTCCCGTCCCGTCCAGCCCCGTCCCGCAGCGCACCGCGATCCAGCGCCGGACATGAGGCTGCGGGTCCCGGTGCCGGTGCCGGTGCCGGTCCCGGTGTCGGTCCCGGTGCTGGTCCTGGTCCTGATCCTGGCCGTCACGGGCCGTGCTGCCGCCGGGCACGGGCACGACGAGGATGAGGAGTCCCCGCACGCCAAGGAGAGAGGTGAGACGGGGGTGCGGGGGGACCGGGGGGGGGGGGGTCCCGGCTGCACCGGGAACCCCCCATGAAAGGGTTTAGGGTCCCCGATGCATCAGGGCGCCCCTGTGATGAGTTTAGGGTCCCCGATGCACAGGGTCCTCAGGGCATGGAGCACCCCTCTGACGGATTTGGGGTCCCCGAATGATGGGCACCCTTTATATGTTGTGCTGTCCCCCGTGCACGGGCACCCCGATACACAAAACACCCCTCTGATGGATTTGGGGTCCTCAGTGCACGGGCACCCCAATACACAGAGCACCCCTCTGCTGGATTTGGGGTCCCCGACCCACAGGCACACCAATGCACGGAGCACCCCTATGCCAGATTTAGGGTCCCCAATGCACAGAGCACCCCTCAGCCATGTTTAGGGTCCCCGATGCACGTGTGCCCCGATGCACAGAGCGTTTCTATGCTGAATTTAGGGTCCCCAGTGTTCGGAGCGGGGGTCCCCCTTGCTGGCTTGAGGGGCTGCCGTACCGCCCCCGTTAGGGGCCCCCAGTGGGGCCGTGCCCCTCCGGCATCGCGCAGCCCCGCAGCCGCACGTCCCTGCCTTTGTCCCCGCTCCCGCCAACTCCGGTGCGGCCACGACCCCCGGCAGGAACAGCCCCGTTCCCCACCAGATCCTGTTCCTACTTTCCTGAGGGGCTCAGGGCTCCCAGCACGGGGTTTCAGCCTCCCGGAGGGGCCGGAGCTATGGGGCAGGTGTGGGGCTGCCCCACAACTGGGGATGGAGCAGGGGGCTGGGGGCTGCGGGGTGCCTCCCCCCACCCTGTCCCTGGTGGCAGAGGGGGCTTCCAAGTTTTGGGGTCCTTCTTTTAGCAAGGGGAACGCTCAATCCCTTTGGTCTCAGTCCCTTTTCTGACCCGGAGGCTGTGGCGCTGCCAGCGTTCAGCAGGGATTTTGGGGCAGTGCCATGCCTCAGCTCGCCTGGGGCTGAGCACAGCGCGGGGACGTTCCCGTCCCAGCCTGGCCCGTGGGTTTGTGTTTCCCAGGCTCAGCCTGCTAGCGTGTCCTTGTTTCTTTGCCTCTGGTAAGAGTTGCCCTGACCTGCACGGGGACGGCTGCCATGCGGCACGGGTCGGCAATTGTTCGGTGCCGGGAGCTGCTTTTGTTGCTGCGATGAATCACGTTCCTCGCCGCGCTGCGCGTGGGGACGGGGACGCGGATGCTCCTCGCCGCAGAGATGAAGTAACTCCGGCCACAGGGCAGGAGGGTGCCAGGCTCCGGCTGCCTGGGGATGGGACTGGGAAAAGGGGACGGGGGGCAAACGGGCACCCTGACCCCCCCGGGGGTCTGGCTGGAGCCCCGCGGGAATGTGGGGTTTGGTTGGGACCCAGGAATGCCCCCATGCAGCCACATGTCACCGCCAGGCTGGCTCCTTTCCTCCTCCCAGCGTGGGCACCAGGTATGGCCGGTGGCTGCTGGGCACCTGGCACAAGCTGCGGGTTGCCCTCGAGGCTGCCCAGCTCTGCGTCCCCTTCTTCTTCACCCCCTGATGCCTTCTTCCTCCGGTGGAGCCCATTTTTTAGCTTAACCCACTTTCACTTACCTCACTCCCCAGCCTTAAGGGATTCCCCATTTTTCTCCCTCCTGCTGGCACGGCCCTTTTTGCCCAAGGCCCTCCAGCTGTTTCCTCTTTCCCCGACACTCACCGAGGCCACTTGGGTTCACGGGGAGCAGGAACAAGCCGCGGTGATTCCTGCCCTGTGCCTCCCCCTCCCTGTGGGATGCTGCCTGCATCTCGGGGCCCCGCAGCCCCCCAGGAGCACAAAGAACAATCCCTGCGGCAACCTGAGCTGCCGGTGGCAGATTAAAGGCTGATCCACAAGGCTCACGGTCGGTCAGGGTTTAGAAACACACAAGAAAAGGAATTTAATGCAGCTGGGTTTGTGTGGGATCAGTGCATGCAGGGGTTGGAAGGGCATGGGTGCTGCGTGGGGCTGCTTGGGGGGGGAAAAACGGGGCTGTGCTTGTGGGGCAGGGCTGGGGGCTTGCTGCTGTCCCATCCTGCGGGGTGCAGAGGTTCCTTGTGGGATTTGGCAGGAGGATGCTGCCCAGACGCCGTGCCAGCCCCAGACCTCGTGCCAGCTCCTTGCTGGCCACAGATACGCTCGGGGAGCTGGCTGTGGGCAGCGTGAGCGCGGCGGCACAGCCCGTGTACCTTGATCGGGTTACTGCTTGCGAGGGAAAGGTGCCTGGACCTGTCTGCTCGGCTGGGACCTGTCTGCAGGGGCAGGTCGCTGCTTTGAGGCTTTCCCCCTGTGCATCTCTGCATGTCCTGGTGCTCTCTTGGCTCCCAGAGCACCAGGAACACCCCCCTGTGCTCTGCTCCATGGTGCCCCAGCCTGGCACTGGTCCTCAGCGAGGTGATCCTGCCATCATCCCACAGCCTTTGTCCAGGGGCTGGTTCGGGGCTGTGGCAGGATCCCAGGGCAGCCTGTGGCTGAGCACAGGGCATCGTGTGCCCGCCCGATAAGCGAGCAGGATGTCTGGAGCCATAAACTCCTGTCGGAGCCCATGGCGAGGAGGCACCAGACAGCCCTGCTGCCATCAGATGGCATCGGCACGCGGCTGCCACCGCACATTTGGGCATCCTCAGGTGCCCTGCAGGCTGTGCATCCCCTAAACTGCAAGCAGCTGAGGGCAGAAGGGGCATCCCCCTGTTTTCACCCTATTCCCTGGCTCTGCTGAGGGTGCCTCTTGCTCCGTGCAACCAGCTGTGGGTCTGTGCCCGCATCCCTGCAGCGTTTCCTGGGAGCAGCCTGCTGCTTCAGTGCCTGCCAGCAGCAGCCCCTGGTCCTGCTGGCTCCTCACCGTGCCCAAAACTGCTCCTGCCCTCGCCCCCAGGCTGCAGGACATGCAGAGCAGCACGCCGCTAATGGCAGCGCCTGCCCGGACCCGGCAGGAAAGTGTTGTTGGATGGTGTTGGATATCAAGGAGCGAGCGCCAGGATCCTGAAGTGGGAGGGAGCGAGCAAAGTGCCTGTGTGTGTGTGTGGGGAAAGCACCAAAATGGGGAAACTTGGTTGATGTTGCTCCCCCCAGCTCAGGGAAGGGGGTGGGTTTGGTGCTGGGTGGGAGCGGAGGGGCTCCACGTGGCTGAGCACAAAGGCTTTTAGTGCCTGCAGCCGCAGCCAGCTCCTGTTAGAGCCCCGAAATATTTCCCTGCTGGGACCCCACCGAGGAGTCCTCTCCTCGCTCACCCTCTCCCAGTGCGCTCGTCAAAGCGCTGGGCACCAGCTGTGCTTCTGCTCCCCCCATCCAACATTTTTGGGAGTGCTTTGCAGCCCCTGTACGTGCTCGGGGTAGGGCAGGGCGTGCAGAGAGCTGCAGCACCTCTGTTGTGGTGTGTGGCAGCGGTTCAGCGGCGAGGGGAGCCGGCCCCGTGCGCTGCTCGGAAGGAGAAGACGTGCTCCGGCGGGGAGCGTGGGAGGGAGGCTGAAATTATGCAAATCAGCGTTTGCGCAGGGCGGTGGGGTAATGCTGGTGACGAAGGGTCTGGTGCCTTGCAGGGCTACGCCAGGGTGGGTGCCAAAGGCTTGATCCCATCGCCGGGCTGGGCTGGCACCGGTGCTCCCCCTGCATCGCTCGGGGCGTGCGCCGAGGGACCCGGTGCTGTGCCCAGCTCCGTGGGTGGGGAAATGCACTCGGGTGGCCTCGGTGCGTGGGTAGGTGCAGGTGGATGCTGGGGTACCAAGGGACCCCCGGGGGAATCTGGTACCCTGGGTGCAGCTGCAGCCTTCAGGCTGTTGGATCCCCGTTTCCCTATAGAGGACCAAGAAATGTGGGGCTGTGAGCCCCTGTGGAGCCCCTGCGCCGCAGGAGCAAGCACTGGGACCTGGGGAGCCGGGGTGGGTGGCACGGTGCTGACGCAGCAGGGCAGGTGCCAGCACCGAGCTGTTGCTCAAGCTTCAGGTGGAAGGATGAGAAGCCTTCTGTCAAGGCAGAGTTCCTGGAGGTGAGCAGAAAAGCAGGGTGCCGGGGCAGGCTGTGCCGGTTCGGGCATGTGCAGCGCACCCAGGCATCGTGTGCCAGCCCCGTAGCTGCTCCAGGCCCGCCACCCTCATGCTGCAGGAGGGGAATCCTGCCTGGGAAAGCTGCTGAAGCACCTCTTGGGGGTCCTGTCTGTGACCACTGCATCCTTGGCACAATTGCACGCTTGTTCCTGCCCTGTGCAGGCAGCCGCATCGTGCCCAGCCCTCTGCTGGGCTCTGCACCTCCAGGAGCACCCCACACCTTGGGCAAGTGGCTCCCGAGCCTCTGAGGTGCTGCAGAGCGATCACCACCACGCTGTTCCCATATCCACGGCCCTGCTGTCCCCAAGCATCCGCGGCCACCAGGGCTGGCTCCTGGCAGGGAGGAGGGCAGGATCCCGCTGGGCTCGGGGCCCCGCATCAGCTGCCTGGGCCTGGGAAAGCGTGCCTCTTCCTTTCTCACCCGTGAGCTGGAATCCACTCCTATTAATAGCAAGCGGCTGTCGGTGGCCGTTGTCAGTGGCAGGGCACTTGTTGGCCCCCGCTGCACCCCGTCCAGGCTAATGGGCATCTGCACTAATGAGGGATGGAGATGTCTGGGGACTGGGCTGCGCCCTGGGGAGCTGAGGGAGCGGGGTGGGTGCTGGCCCCAAGCCTCTCTGACCCTTTTTGGGTTGGGATGTGCCAGCTGGGGGTATCGGCGCCGTGCCACCACGAGCACCCCGGTGAGAGCGAGCCCGAGGAGGTGAATTCGCTCTGTCCTGGTGCAGCTGGAGGAGCATGGGCACAGCTGCTCCGCGATGAAAGCCTGTATCTGCAACTTATTTTTCCCCTTATAACGGTGATAACAAAGTGTCGAGCCCTGGAGTTTCCCCTCGGGGTGATGCACGCAGGGAGAAGGCAGTGCCCCCCGGCTGTGGGGCAGGAGGAGGAGGAGGAGGAGTGGGGAAGCGAAGGCTGGGAGGGGGCTGGGGGTGCAGTGTGAGCCCCGGGACCTGCTGCTGGGGCTGTGAGCACTGCCTGTTCGCTGCCAACCTTTCCCTTCCATTCATGCTCTTGTGTGTGTTTTGTTTTTTTTTTCTTTTTCCCCTTTTCCTTCTCAAGGTCCTGGTGACAACCACTGGAGCTATGAAGGTAAATACCCTGCAGTTTTCCTGCTTTCCCCCACCACCCAGCGCACGCTGGGCTCGAGCCAGCCGTGGTTAATGATTACAGGGCTCCTGTGCGCACTCAGCGGCTCGCCCTTCCCTCCTGCCTGACCCTGCTGCTTCAGCGGTGCCCGAACCCGGGCATGGGTGGGCTGGAGAGCCCGGGGTGCTCCCATTTGGGGAGGGCAGCAGCAGCTCACCCAAACCCTCATGTTGGGGTGCCTTTGGGGCCAGGCTTCCCCCCCAGACAGGAGCTGGCCGCATCCTATGCCAGGCTGGGCTCCCCAAGGCTGGACTTGCAGCCTGTGCTGGGACTTTGACCTGCCCAAGGATTAGCTCGTGTCCTCACCCTTGCCCTCTGTCCCCTGTCCCTCTTGTCCCCTAGGCTGGGGCTGGCCTGAAAAGTGCTGGAAGCAGCCCCCTGTGGTGTAAGGGGAGGTTTTGGGGACATCACCCATCCCTTTGTGGGGCCGGCACCTCGCCACCTGTGGCCGTGGGCACGTGTGGCCCTGGTGGCACCGTGCTGGAGGGGCTCACGTAGCAGCAGGAGAGGCAACGATGAGCAGCGAGCGTGTGACAAGCTGCAGGCTCCTCCGCCTGCCAAGTCCACTTGTAAATGATCTTCTCGCGCTCTTCCCAAACACCCCAAAAATAGACTTTTCTGGCAGCTCACCGCGCTCGGAGCCCTTTCGTGGCACAGCTGCGCGCCGTCACGTGGCAGCAGGGAGCTGCTCCCGAGCTAGCTTGGTGGAAACCAAGCCTGTGAGCGAGGTGCACTGCCCAAACTGCGCCTGCCCCTTCCCTCCCACCCACCCCAATTCCCCCCCGGGGGTCTCCTCGCTTGGCTGGCCTCACCGCTGCTGCCTCCCCGTTGCAGAACCGGAGCGCTGGGGCGAGCACTACCCGGCCTGCTCGGGCAACAAGCAGTCCCCCATCAACATCGAGACGGAGAAGACCATCTTCAGCCCCGAGCTGCAGCCCATCCAGCTCTCCGGGTACAGCCTGCCCAACAGCAAGAAGTTCAAGCTGAAGAACAACGGGCACACAGGTGGGTGCGAAAGGCACCGGGTGCCGCTCCTGGCAGGACCAGGCTTCCCTGAAACCCTCCCAGTGGCTCTTGGAGAGCTTTGTTCAGGTGCTTTCCAGCCTGGAGGGGAGAAACCAGGAGATGGAGAGCTCACAACTCGCTGCCTTTGGGTGGTGGCTCCGGGAATTTGTTATAATCCATGTTTCCTCTAAAAACATGCCCCTAATACTTCTGGTGCAAGTTTGCAGGCATCGTTTCCACTTTCAAAGGACTGGTTGGTCCCTGGTGTGATTAGCCCTGATGGTACCCACCCCTCAGTCTTCTAGGACACAGCTTTGGCCAATTTAAAGCCCATGCTTCAAGACACTATCTCAGGATCTTAGGGCACTTTTAGAAATTGTTTATTTCCCTTCTCCAGTTTTAGAAGGGCTATAAAGCCCTTCTAAATACTGCATGCAGATACATGCACTATCTGGCATGGAAAGACTGATGCTACGTTAACATAAATGGATTCCGTTCCAACTTTTTTGGGGGGGAAAAAAAAGAAAAAAAAAAAAAAAATTTCCTTCCTGCCCTGCAGCTGGAGATGGCAGCTCCTGGCTGCCACCAGGTCTTTCCAGGAGCACCTCGCTCATCCTGTGCGCGCTGGTGGCTGCCGGTCCCCAAGAGAAGCTGCTGGGGACAGCAACCTGCTGAAGGTGTGATAAAACAGCCCCGTGACCCGATGCAGCACACTCGACCAGTCGGACTCGCTGCGTGCCCAGAGCTCTGTTTTACAGCCTCCCGCCCCAGCGTGCCTGCATAGCTGAACGGGTCGAGCTCAGCGGTTGCTATTTTGGACACCCTGGCATCTGGCGTTGCTTGGTGTTCAGAAAGCACTTGTAACATTTTTGTTGAGAGGGCTGGGGGGTGAAGAAGTTTCTCGTCTGCTTATAAGATGCCTTTTTAAATTATTATTATTATTATGGAGCCTTCTGTGCTCGTTCTGAAAAGCCGGGGTATTTCTGCTGTCGCTCCTCCTTATACAACGTGTTCGCTGCACAGACTTTTGCAAGGGCCTGAAAATGACTCAGATAAATACTAGGAATGCCCTGATCTAGATACACAAAAGAAATGTTGAAGCAGGTAAATCCCCAGGGAGGGAGCAGTGTCCCGCTTCCTGTATTTGAGTTCTGTATCTCCGAGCCCGGTGGCAGGCGGCACAGGAGAGGACAAATGACTCATCACAGCCGCGTTGTGTTCCTGATCCCAAACCTGTGCCCTGGCTGGCGATGTGACTGACACTTCACCTACAGAGGCATGAGGAAGGAAAAGGGCTGACGTTAAGAATTAGAAGGTGCTTGGAAGGAGAGGGCAGCTTTTCTCAGGGTCCGGGGATGCTCCGGGTGGCTTTGGTGCATGTCCCAGTAGCTCAGCCCTGAGGTGTGCCACACCACGGCGTGAGGGCTGGCTTTGCTAGATGGAAATTTTGGACTTGGTCTTGGCCAAAAATTCAAATCCTTGAGTTTTGCCTGCCGATCCTTGAACTTTGCCCACGGGCTCTTTATATTATCCTCGCTTAGTGCATCAGGTGTTGGACAGCATCCAGCACAGGGCTGCCCCGTGAGTCTCTGCAGAGGGGCAGAGCCCTCTGAGCACTTCCAGCTCCAGGAACAGCCGCCGTGATTTATTTATCTGGGTGTCCTACAACCCCAAGCCGAAAGCCAAACCCTGCTGCATTTGCACAGCGCTATCCACTGCCCCACCTACAGCCTCGTTAGAGATCAAAAGCGAGTCTGTTCGCTGTCTCCAGCTTCCACCAGCCCAGGGTGACTCTTTCCCCCAAGCCACCTCCTCTGCGAACCTGGGGCGGACTGGACTCTGTGTTTTACTGACCGACCTCTCCCTCCTGCCCCGCAGTTGTCCTGGATCTGCCCGAGTCCATGGCCATCACGGGTGGCTATGCCCAGCAGTACCAAGCCAAGCAGCTGCACCTGCACTGGGGCTCCCCGTCGACAGCTGGCTCCGAGCACACCGTGAACAGGAAGCGTTTTGCTGGGGAGGTGAGGAGCCCTCGTCCCCCTCCACCGTCCTCTCCCAATGCTGGGCTAATGGAGAAGGAGTTTCCCATGTATACAGCCTGCCCTGCCAGCTCCCAAATGGTTTTACCCCTTTTTTTCCACCAGCTGCTGTCCTCCAGCCCCGCTATCCGGGGCTGGTTTGCTGCCTGTAAGCAAGGCAGCTCCCATGGGCAGCTGTTTGTGCTCACTTCTATCCACTGGCACGTGTTGTCTCCATCCCAGCTGCACATTTACCCCTAGCAGGGATGCTCAGTGTGGCTGCATGCCTCTCCCAGCCCTTGCAATGGTCGGGGAGCCCCCATGGGGGTGCGCACCTCTTTGGGGTGCCCAACCTGCATCGGGGCTGTGTGTTTCCCTCCAGCTCCACGTGGTCCACTACAACACCAAGTACGAAAACTTCAAGGTGGCCTTGGGCTACCCGGATGGGCTGGCCGTGCTGGGAGTCTTCCTGGAGGTGAGAACCAGAGCCCAGACCTGGGCAAGGAGGGGTGGGAGTGGGACCGGGCTGGGCGTCAGGGGTAATTCTGGGGACCCGCAATGGTGCTGGTGCCCGTGGCGAAGAGGGTCCAGCAGGACAGGGTGCCCCTCGCAGGCAGCCAAACCTCCTTTTGCTGCTGCATTGCAGGTCGGGCCGAGGGAGAACCCTTACTACGAGGAAATCATCAAGCATCTCCAAAAAATCCAAGGAGAAGGTAAGGCTCCCAGCAGAGAAACCCCTTGCAGTGGAGAGGAAGGGAGAATCCCCTGCACTCCCTGGCACACGGGGTGCATGCAGCAGGGTGGTGCGAGGCTGGGCTGGGCGATGCCCCGGGTCGGGTGTGCTCCGTGAGCCCCGCGCTTGGTCCCGTTCCCCTCCCTGGGGCTGCCCTCACTCCCCTGCCTTCTCCTCCCAGATGAGGAAGTCATGGTGCCCGGGTTCAACATCGCGGGCTTGCTGCCCGACAGCCTGCACCTCTATTACCGCTACAATGGCTCCCTGACCACCCCTCCCTGCTTCCAGTCGGTGATGTGGACGGTCTTCAACCAGACCGTGATGCTCTCCCATGACCAGGTCTGTTGGGGCAGCGCCCGTGCAGGTCCCCGTGGATGCCGTGCGCCGGGGCTTTTTGGCTCCCCAGCACAGTGCGCACCCCGCCCTATTCACCCTGCTCTCTCCTCCCAGATCTCGGTGCTGGTGACGAGCCTGCAGTACGACGACGGCAAGCCCCTGCAGAATAATTTTCGGCCGACCCAGGCCCTGCACAAGCGGTGGGTGCTGGCGAGCTTCGAGCCCACCTTGTCCCGGGAGAGGCAGGTGCCCACGGGTAAGGAGCGCGCGAGCACCCTGGGGGTGCACCGGGCTGCTGGGGCGCAGGGCAAAAAGTGGGGCGAGGCTTCTCTTAGGGGAATGCATTTTTCTAATGGGTTACCCTGGGTTTTGGAGCAGGGCTGGGGGGTGCCAGGCTGGGTACTCACCACCCTGCTCGAGGACAAACAGAGGATGGTTCCCTCGGTGTGTCCTCGAAGCCCTTTCTGGTGGTTTCCAGCTATGAGTAGAAGTTCCCGCTAGCCCTCAGGTGCGACTATCACTCTGCATCACCGTGTCGGTGCCCCTTTTCAGTTCTCTGAGCTCGCTTGGGGCTTTTTTTCCCTGTCCAACATCCTGTTCCTCCTCCTTTCCGCTGGCATTTGTCGCCTTGTGTCAAGGTGACTAATAGAAATAGCACACAGGATGGGTCCCGGGCCCCAGGGGAATGCCTGGCTAACCACACAGTGGTATGCCACCTCTCCTCACCACCACACCTGCAGCCAGCTCGTTAAGGGCTGCAGGATTTAATCACCATGGTCCTCGGCCTCGCTCGCAGCTTCCCGGATGGCTCCACGGCAAATGCTTCACTGAAGCCCGGGGAGATAAAATCTACCGCATTTTCTTTGTCTGGAATATCACTTATCAGAGAAGGATATCGGGTTGGGCTGGCATGCTCTATCTTTGGTAAACCTGCTAGAAACATTATCGTGCTCTCCGTTTACCTCCGAGCCTTTTCTTTTACCCCTTTCTGCAGAAGCTATTCCTCAGCAGGCGCCGGCAGAGGCGAGGGGGCGGAGGTGCAAATGAGCTCACCTCTTTTCTTCCCGTTTGCTATTTCTATCAAACCACCCCAAACAAAGCCTGTGGCCCTGAAGTCGTGTGTCTGAGTGCCGGGCTGGTGTCCCTGTGCTCCCGGATGAGGTTGCTGGTCCCCAGACCTGGCAGGCACTGGGGTGGTGCAGCCTTCCCCGCTCCACACCGCCCCGTGCACCAGTGGGGCTGGGTCCTGTCCCACCTCGCTTTCAGCTCTACCTCCCTCACCCACGCTTGTTGATTTTTCCCAAGCTGGAGGGTCAGGAAAGCTGCTCTAGGATGCTGGCACTGATAGTGCCACCCGGCGCGCGATGCTGGAGCTGTGCAGGTGATAATGCTGCCGGGGCAGAGCAGCGCTGCTGCGCTAGGTAAATATTGCCTGGCACAGGATTTAGGGCATGGGTAGGTGGTGGTGTGGGCTGGCTGTCCCCACGTGGGGAGCAACGAGAGCAGCCCAGGTTTGGCAAAGCCTTGTACTGGCACTTTCCTCCCCCCCTGGCTGTGCTGTGTCTCCTGGGGGTGGTGGCAGCAGGCACAGGAGGTGCTGGCCCTGGGGAGGGTGCCGGGGGACACCCAGTGGGGATGGGGCATGCAGCCATGGGGGGGCTGTTCTGGCATCCCTACAGCAGGCTCTCACACCTCTCCTTTTTTAATTTTTCCTCAGCGGGACAGACCAGCTCCTCGTTTCACGCAGGTAAGTGTGCTCAGCCGAGGCTGCTGGCTCCGTGTCCCCCCCCAGCCCTGTGTCCCCCCCCTACTCCCCTCACCACCACCACCACCACCCGCCCCGTGACGTGCCTGTGCTGGGCTTGCAGGGGACGTGTTGGCTGTGGTCTTCGGGGTGCTCTTTGCCATCACAGCACTGGCCTTCATGTACTACGTCTACAAGCAGCGCAGCCAGAACGCACGGTGAGTGGTGGGCAGAGCAGGGTCGGGGGCACCGCTGTCCCCCCCCCCATACCCCTGCACACTGCTGTATGGGAAACGAGCGTTACGCAGACGAGTTTTCGGGGCTTCCCTCTCTGCCCTAACACCCTGCTCTTTGTCCCACGCCAGGCTGGACTCGCCCACCAAATCCAAGGTCATCTACACAGCGGCCACCACCGAGAACACAGCGTGAGCCCCGCGGCTCAGCCCCGTCCCCTCGCTCCCACCCCGGGCTCGGGGGGCACCAGCCTCCCCCGGCTGCACAGACTGTTCACCTGGGGCAACGCCCAGCCCCAGCAGATATTTTTGTTACAAAAAACGATAAAAACGTTAATAAAAAAGGCCAAAAAAGGTGTAAGAGCTTCCTGTGCTGCCGGCCACCTCTGCCGTCCCAGGAGCAAGCCGCGGAGCGACGCCGGACCCTTCCCATCGCAGAGCCTCCATCCGTGCCCCAGGCAGAGCTCCAGAGCAAGCAGTGCGGGGCTCCTCACACAGCCCAGCCCTGCCCTTCAGCGCCCTGGGACTTCTTCCTCCTCTTTATTTGTGCAAAGCCTTGGAAAAACAGCTGCTGGGGCTTGGTAGGGCCGGAGCGCTGCAGAGGTGAAGGCAGCAGCCCCTCGGCTTCCTCGCCGGCCCCCACCCTGCTCCTCTCGAGCTGCTGGCCTCCGAGGCTCGCGTGCAGCCAGAGCCAAGCCCTGGGGAGCATCAGGGCCCTGCTGCAGCCAAAAGCAACGGGCTCAGGCAGGGGTGAGGGGAGGAAGACACGGGAGGAAGCCTCCACCCTGGTGGCAAGCGAGGAGCGGCCGAAGCACCCCCCCCCCCAGGGCTGGCACACACCCCACTCAGCTATGGTGCTTATTTTTTTTTTTTTATTGGTATAAAAGCCCACTGTGGACAAAGCCGCCTTCTCAGCACTGAGCCCCTGGGCTGTTTCAATATCCCCATCTTGTAAGCACAGCATCAGGGCCGGTGCCTGCCTGAAAAATCCCCCTCCGGCCCCTGGAGAGGGCGACGATCCCCGGGGGGCAGCCCCCAGCACCCCTCCCCAGGCCGTGCTGGCACCAGCTGCAGGCTCGCTGGTCCACGGCCACCCAACCGGAGCTGCTGGGATCCATCTCCCCACATCCCTTCCCACCACCTTCCACCCCCAGCAGCTGCCCCCCTGCCCCACACCAGCCCCCCGACGCCACCCCCAGGATGCCAGCTCACTGCAGTCCGGCGCTGGGGCCACGTCTTGCCGTGAGCAGGGGGCGAAGAGGTGGAGAAAGAAGCACCACAGGGCTCAGCCTCAGCCCAGACAGCGCCTTGCAAAGCTGCTTCCTCCACCCCAGCGGCACAGGGGACGAGGGGGGCATCTTCTGCGCCGGGGGGAGAAGCGAGGGGGGTCCTTGGGATCAGTCTGAGGAAGGATCCGTCCCAGGCAGGGTAGTTCAGGGCCAGCAAAACCAAGTCCTGCAGGCTGGGCTGTCCCCGGAGGGGCAGAGGAGCAGGCCAGCCCCGGTGCCACTTGTCCGCTGGGTGGTGGTCCCTGCCCCTCCGGGGGCTGGCCGGGGTCCCCCCCTTCCAGGAGAAAAACGTATTGCAGAGGAGGCGAGTGCCGATGGTGTCGCCGAGATGGAGGGGAGGGCAGGGGCAGCTGGGGACAGGAGCGTCCTGCGGGGCCTCAGGATGCCAGCTGGGGGCTGGCTCCGCTCTGCGAACCTGTGGAAACCAAGACGGGGTGGTGGGGGGGAGATTTTCACCAAATTTCATACCCAAACCACCTCCCCCTCGGAGTCAGCCCCAGGGTCTCCTCCTGTCCCGTGGGAGAGGCAGTCAGCTCCTCGCCTCGTTCCCCAAGAGACCCTTTCCCCACCCCAGGACCCAGCACCCAGAGGGTCCCCGGCACCCAGAGGGTCCCCAGCACCCAGAGGGTCCCCAGCACCCAGAGGGGTCCCTGTGCCCCTTTACCAGGCACTTACAGAGCAGGAAGCGGCGCAGGTTCTGTGCAGAGCCCCCCGAGAGCAGGTAAGCCCAGACAGCAGCAGCGGCCATCAGCAGGTAGGAGGGCACCAGGCTGCCCACGTACAGCGGGTTCCAAAACGTCTGGGGTGGGGGGAAAAGCAAAAAAGGGAAAGGGTGAGAGGGGTCTCCCACAGCCCGGCTGCTCCACGTAGCCACCGTGTCCCCCTCCTGATGGTTCCAGTGGTGTGGGAAGCCTGGTGAGGGTCTGGGATGGGACAGGGATGTGTGGCAGCATCCCTGGAGGCAGCACGGGGCTCTGCTCGCAGCACTCACCGACCCCGAAACCGCGAGGTGCATGAGGACGACGGCGGCGATCTCCCACCAGCGCCGGTTCTCGCAGCCGTGGAAGAAGAGGATGCCCCAGAAGGTGTGCAGGAAAATCAACACCATGGTCATGAAGGCTGCGGGGAGCAACAGCGGGGGGTCAACAGGGAGCCACGGGCCCTGCGGGGGGCTCCGATGGGTACGGGGAGCAGGGATGTGGGTTACGGCCCCATTCCTCACCTGAGGTCAGGAAGTAGAGCTGCGAGTCCCCGTGGATGCCCACGGTGCCCGGTCCCAGCGCGTCTGCCAGGAGGTTGATCATGGAGAAGGCACCGCTCATCAGCCCAAAGCCCACGCCAGCCACTGCCGGGACAGAGAGGCCGTGACACCCCAAATCCACGGTCCCCCACCCCCACCCCCAGGGACCCCCCAAACCCCACCAGTACCCCGGGTACCCGCGCGGCACTCACCGTATGCCATTTGCTGGATGGAGATGGGCGAGCAGCCGTCCTCGCTGAGCGCCACCAGCCCCTCGATGGCCTTCCTGCAGGGAAAAATGTGTCACCAGCAGGCACCTGGCTCCTCGCTCAAAAATCCTGCCCTTGATTAATGGCCCTGCGGGCACTCTGCACCAAAACGCACCGCGGGGACCCTCCTGAGCCACCGCCACGGGGCTGAGGCCACCTCGGGGACTTGTTCAGCTTTGGGACCCTCAGCACAAGGACATCGAGGGCCTGGAGCGTGCCGGGGGAGGTTCAGGTTGGAAATTAGAAATTTATTCTCAGAAAGAGCAGCCAGGCACTGGGACGGGTTGCCCAGGGAGGTGGTGGAGTCACCGTCCCTGGGGGTGTTCAAGGAAAGGCTGGACGTGGTGCTTGGGGACAGGGTTTGGTGTGTGACAGTGGTGGCAGGGGGGTGGCTGGAACAGATCTCGGAGGTTGTTTCCAACCCTAATGACTCCGTGACCCCAAATCCAACCCCACAGACCAGGTGTGGGGGCCGCCGGGGTGCCGCAGCCCCAGCAGCAGCACCGCAAGCTGCAGAGCGCACCCCTAGGGCACGCACGCAGCTGGGAGAGCAAACCTATTATATTTTTTTTTAGAAAACACACAAAAAAAAAGAAAAAAAAAAAAAACACAGAGGGTGCAGAAAGAAGCTCCAAAAAAAAAAAAAAAAATAGGAAAAGAAGATTGCAGGGAGGAGAGGCCGGGGCTCTGCAGGACGGAGCTCTGCCACCCTCTGCCTGCGTGCCGCAGTGCTGCCACCTCCCCGCCGCCACCACCACCGCCACCGGGTCTGGGGCTCAGACTTTGCCCCGGTGTCCCCGTGCCCCCCGGTACCTGAGCAGCTTGTAGTAGAGGAAGCGGAAGGCCTCCTGCAGCAGCACCGAGAACATCACCCCGAAGATCAGCAGCCCCCGCTGCAGCGCCTCGTCGCGCGGGTCGCTGGCCTTCACCGCGATGAACCAGATGAGGGAGGACAGCAGCAGCGACACCAGCCAGAAGAACGCCCTGCGGGGCACCGGGAGCGTGTCACCGGGACGGTACCGGGGACGGTAACGGGGCCTGGGCACCGCCGTGTACTGGTGCTGCCCGTACTGGTACCAGTGCCATGGTACTGGTGGTGCTGTGAGCACTGGCGGTGCCCATACTGGTACCGGTGCCATGGTACTGGTGGTGCCCGTGATGGTGCCGGTGCCCCGGTACCGGTGCCCCCGTGAGTACCGGGGGTCGCGTTGTGCCCGTGACACCCCCGGTGCCCACACCAGTGCCCGGTACTGGTACCAGTATGGGTGCTGGTGGTCCTGCAGCACTCATAGCAGTGCGGGTACCGGTGGCTGTGGCCGTGCCCACACCGGTGCGGGTGCCGTAGCCCTGCTGTGCACACCCGTACCGGCACCACCACCCCTCCCGGTACCGGTACCGGTACCAGTGCCCACCCCAGCCCCATACCCATACCGGTACCGGTACCAGTGCCCACCCCAGCCCCGTACCCATACCGGTACCAGCCGCAGCACCGTGCCCCGGGCTGGGTGCGGGTCCCGGTGCTGATCCCGGTGCCGGTGCCCCCCACCCCCCGGTCCCGGTCCCGGTCCCGGTGCCGGCACGGACCCGGCGATGAGGATGATGATGCGCAGCGGGTCGCGGGCGATGGTGAAGAGGAAGAGGCTGAGCGCCGGCCCGAAGGCGATGAAGGTGCACCCGAAGAAGACGGCGAGCGTCATGGCTGCGGCTCCGGTACCGGCTCCGGTACCGGCACCGGCTCCGGTCCCGGGGGGGGTCCCGGGCTGGGCTCGCACCGCGGGGTCCCGCCTGCTCCCGGCCCGCGCCCCCCGCCCTTCCGGGGCCGCCTGACGTCACCCGCCGCCTGCGCGCGCCGCCGCCCGGCCCGGAAGAGCGGCGAGGGGCGGGGCCGGCACCGGGCAGCGGGGGCGGGGAACCGGGAGGGGGCGTGGCTTCGGGGAGGGGGCGTGGTCTGCCAGGAGGGGGCGTGGTCTAAGCATAAGGGGCGTGGTCTAGACACAGGGGGCGTGGCCCCGCCCAGGGCCGCCTGGTCTACCCGGAGCCCACGGTGGCCGTGTCCCGCAAAGGGGGGGTCCCCCGTGGGGTGTCCGGGGGTGGCCCGGGGAAGGTGCTGCGGCTGGGGGTGCTGCATAAAGGGGGCTGCAGGAGAGCTGGGGGGGGGATCTGTGTCTGGGGGTGGTGATAGGACAAAGGGGAATGGCTTTAAAATAAAAGAGGGGAGATTTGGGTTAGGTGTTTGGAATAAATTCTTTATTTTGAGGGTGGTGAGGACCTGGCACAGAGGAGCTGTGGCTGCCCCATCCCTGGCAGTGCTCAAGGCCAGGCTGCATGGGGCTGGGGGCAGCCTGGGCTGGGGGGAGGTGTCCCTGCCCGTGGCAGGGGGGCAGAATTGGGTGGGCTTTAGGGTCCCTCCCAACCCAACCCATGCTGGGACTCCGCGGTGTGCAGCTGTACCCCCGGAGCCCTGTCATCTTTAGGGTTCCCCTCCCTGTAGAGCAAGGGGCAGCGGAATGGTGGCAGCGTGGTGCTGGGCCCTGGGGGGCCGGCTGGCGGCCTTGGTGCTGCCATCACCGGGAACAGCCCGCAGAGCCTGGCAGAAATGAGTTCAGAGGTGAAGGAGGAGCTGTGGGAGGGGTGCAAATGGTCGAAAGGGCCAGCACGGTGCAGGAGGCTGGAATGGGGAACGGTGCTGGGTGTGAAAGGGCTCTTTGTGTCGGAGGGACGCCCGGCAGCTGGGGACGCGCCCTGATAGGGAGGCCTGTTTGCAGGGCAGGGTGCTGTGGCGGCTTTGCCCTCTTGTGCCTCTTCCAGACAGACAAATCCCCTCCAGGGAGCTGCTTTGAGCAAACACCAGCTCCACTCAGCGATGTGCTGTGAGGAAAGACCTGAGGAGAAACCCCAACCCTTGTGCACGTCCTGGGATGTGGCAGCCCAGAGGGAGAATGAGCAGCAAGGGCAGAGCCCTTTGAAGCTCAGCTTCAGCCTGCAGAGCTCCAAACGAGATTTTGGGGGCCAGAAGCACCTGGGCAGGAAAGAGCTGCCAGCTCTCCATCCTCTCCCGAGCCCAGGGGCGCAGCAAATAAAGGGAAGTGGTCAGGGAAAGCTCGCCCTGTCACTCGACGGGGTGATGGCCTGGCCCAGCGAGGGGTCAGCACAAATTAATGTTTCCTGGCCACCTGAGGCTGTGCTGCCAGGGGGATATCCGCAGGGTAGTGTAGGACAGCAGGGCTAAATGCAAGCCGTGGAGGGGCCTGGAGCAGAGGGCAGGGCTCGATCACAGCTCCGGGCATCCCCAGGGAGCCCATCCCTGCTTGGTGACAGCGGCGAGGCACATCCTGCCAGCCTCCTCTTTGTGCTGGAGAAAACACAGCAGAGCAGGAGGGGACTTCCTGAGTGTGCTGGGAGTTGGTGGCCTGCCATGAGGGCGTCTGTGGGTTTGTACAGCTGTCCCTCGGGCGGCTGGTAGGACAGAACGCAGCGAGGGCATAGGGTGAGCAGCTCCAGGCCTGGAGAAGACCCCAGTAAATGTGCACGTGCTCATTTTGGGCTGAGCTTGGGACTTTGAGGTTCCCTGTGCATCCTAAGGTCCCATCCCAAGGCCAAGGCCGTCCTTGTGACTGCTCTGCCTGCCCCACAGCAGCAGCCCCGCACCTCCCAGCGCCCGTGCCCCCCACCCACAAGGACCAAGCGCACCCGTCCTTCTTGTCAAACTGCTTTAATATTTGGACATGAAGACAGGACAGAGCCGTTGGGGCTGTGCACAGACAAGACGCCCCCCGAGCCACGGTGTAAGGCTGCAGGGCTTCCCTTCTCAACGGATGTGTGGATTTGGCCAAGGCGCAGTTCAGCTGATGACATCCTGAGCGTGCCAAGTGGGGTGCACGTGTGGGGTATAGGGAAGAGGGGCGGGGGCTCCCCAGGCAGCTCAGAGGTTGTTCAGCTCCAGCAAGGTCTGGTCCAGGACCTGGTGGATGCCCACGTTCTCCTCTTTGGCACTGGCCAGACTCTCTGTGAACACAAGGGACACCCAGCCACGCACACAGACACGGCACAGCCGGACCCACGCACACCACGCCAGGCACAGACACACGCACACGGGACACGGCTCAGTATGAGCAGCCCCAGCAGCGGCAGGGATGAGCCCACGACCCCCGGGTGGGGGGCAGGCAGCCCCCCTGTCTTCAGCTTCTCCATCCTCCCGCTGCGCCCCGTAGCCCTTGGCCAGCCCCTCCGTGGTGCGGGTACCACCACCACCGCCACCACCGCGGCCCCATCTCTCCCCGTCCTGCCGTCCCCACCAGCACGTGCACGAACCCTTGAGAGAGGAGAAGCTGGTGCCAGCGGCACAAGCTGGGTGCTCCGTGAAGAAGAGGAGTGAGACAGCAGCCCGGGAGGGCGGGCAGAGAGGACAGCAGAGAAGGAGCAGAGATATCGAGGCTGCAGGGATGAGCTCCGACGGGCAGCCCGCTGCCAGGGTGGCCTCCTCCGGTGCTGGCTTGCGGTCGGCATCCCCCTCCCCGTTAAGAGATGGGGATGGGGGCACCCTGCGGGGACCCCACTCTGAGGGCACCCTCCCTGCGTGGTTTTGGGGTGATGGGAGGGAGGGGATAGCAATGACATAAATCTCCAAATCCCTTCCCATGCCAGGGGACAGCCACCACCGTGTGGGCATCCCAGGACTCGACAAAACCCCTGATCCCTCTCCCCAAAAAAAAAAATTGGCTCCCCAAAGACTCCCTGTCCCCCCCAGCAGGGTGGTTATCCCCATGGGGAGCGGGCAGGGGTTCCCAGCCCCAAACCAGCCTGGCCAAAAGGGGGCAGGGGGGCAGCCGGGGCTGGGTGTGAGGCTGTGCTGGGGCTGGAGCTGCCTTAGCTCAGTTGTTAAGCTCGGTAAGGATGACCCGCAGCTCGTTAGTGAGAACGCGGTTTTTCTCGGCCTCCTGCCGGGAGCGCTCTAGAGAAAACGGAGACGTCAGCGCAGCAAAGGGGAGAGAGAGAGAAAAGAGAGTTAGTGAAAAAGAGACAGTGCTGCCTGCGAGAGCCTGCGCTGGGCACCCCGCTGCGGTGCCACTGGTGCCACACCAATTCTGGGTTTTGGGGCAGGGTAGGATGGTGAGGGATGAGGATTAGGGACCCATTTAGGGCCAGGAACTGCTGACGAGCAGTAGGGCCAGCCCTGTTGGCACGAGAAGGGGATGGAGGAGATGTCAGGGCTGCGAGAGGTTGTCGTGGTGTCCGGGGGTGTGGGTGGGGAGAGGACAGGACCGGGTCTAACCCTACTAATTCAGGCTGAAAGAGCAATGGAGAACGTCTTGGAAGGTGGCAGAAGATGAGGAAAGCTGTGTCCGGGAGCCGGGGGCGGTGGGGGAACGTCCCCAAGCTGAGGCACAAAGGGGCTCAGCAGTGGGGGTCCCCACAGCCACCTCCCACCCCCGGCTGCCGGCGAGAGGGAGCAGGCAATGAAGGGGTGAGCGTGGGGAGCCAGAGCAGCATGAAGAAAACGAGGGAGAAACCAAGGAGAGAAAACGCTTTATTGAGACCAACTCGGTGACCCGGAGGGACAGAACAGAAAAGAAAAAAGTCATGAAATGCAAACTGAAGAGCGATGTGCGAAGGAAGGAGGGGAGCGGGGAGAGGGGAGCAGGGGGGGGAAAGGGGGGGAACCGGGGGCTGCCTGCCTGGGGACGGACACCCCTCATCCCCATGGGGCTGGAGCCCAAATCTCCTCGGAGGTGCTGCTTCTCCGGGACGTGTCCCCCCACCCTGGGCACGGCTTTGCTGGGGGGGGTGCGGGGTCCCTGGTGCTCGTGCTGCCGGGACGTGGGGGCTGCTCCCCTTTCCCCCAAACACCCTGTAGCGCCTTACGCCTTGCTTTCCCCAAAAAGAGGGACCCCCACGGGCCAGGAAGGACAGAGTGGGGATGGGAAGGGCAGGGGGAGCAGTGGGGGGGCCGGGCAGGCAAGCGGCCGAGCTGGGGAGGGGGGGGATGAAGGTGAGGATGAAGGGGTTGGGGGGGGAGTGCGGTGCTGGTGCCGGGCCGGAGGGGCTCAGAGGGAGGTGATGTCGTTAAGCGCATTGTCCAGCTCCTCGCTGATGGCTTTGTACTTCATCTTCTGCGCATACACTTCGTCTGCAGGCAGTGGGGAGGGGGCAGCAGGGGGGTGGCGGGCGGTGGAGCGGGGAGGGGGCGAGTGGCAGAGAGAGAGAGAGCGGGGGTGAGCGGGGCACAGGGCGTGCGGGTATGGCATCGGGCACAGGCAGAGTGGATGCAGCCCTATTCCCCTCCCACAGACCCCCCAAAAAAACCCACAGCACCCCAGCCTCCCCCCCTACCCACCCCATTGCACGGGGACCTGGCTTGCCCATGGGGTGCTTTGGCCTCAACCCAGCTGAGCCCCCCCTAATCAGGGACACGTCCTGTCCCATTGTCCCCATGACAAAGGGGTCAGGAGGCGGTGGGGGTGTTTTTACCTTCCAAATCATCGATGGTTTTCTCCAGCTTCGCCACAGACCGCTCGGCAAACTCTGCCCGGGTCTCCGCCTGCAGGAGAGGACGAGTGTGATGGGGGCGTCCCTAAACCTGCCCCCAAAGCCCACCCCGGAACCCAAAACCACCCCAAAATCATCTCCTGCGCCTGGGCTGCTTGCAGGTGCCGAGCACATTAATTAACCTCCAAGCCTGGGATTATTTCCCTGGGAGCACCCATGGGGACCCAAAATGAGCCTTACCTCCTTCAGCTTTTCCCCTAGGAGCTTGATTTCCTCCTCGTACTTGTCCTCCTTGGTGGAATACTGCAGGGACACAGAGATACGTCCGTGAGCCCCGTGGGACACAATTTGTCACCCTTTTTCCCCCCCCACCACCCAAGGGACCCCGTCCCCCCCAGCCCCAAGCTCTGCGCCCAGCCCCCGCAGCCCCTACCTTGTCAGCCTGGGCCTCCAGGGACTTCAGGTTGTTGGTGACAATTTTCAGCTCCTCCTCTAGGTCACCACATTTACTACATCCCAAGCAAGGCGTGGGGAAGGGGGGAGGAAAGCAGGGCCGGGGATGGTGGTTGGGGAGGAGAGGAGCGGGGAGCAGGAAGAGCGGGCGCAGGGCAGGAGGAAAGAAAAAGAGAGAGAACAAGATGAGAGAGGAGAAACCTCGGGCAGCAAGGGTGGGAGAGGAGCAGAGCCGCCGGGCACGGGTCCCTTCCTCGTGCCAGCCTGTGTCAGCGCTATCACCACACTCCTGCAGTCCTCCGAGGAGGAGGAGGAGGAGGAGGGTGAGGAAGAGGAAAGCGGGCACGGAGGATTGTGCCCAGCCCACGGTGATGCAGGGGAAGGCGAGGTGAGGGCTGGCGGCCGAGGCAGAGTGGAAAAGAGGTGGCTTGAGAGCGACAGAGAGAGGGGGGGCTGCCGCACGTCGCCCCGCGCCCCTGCCCCGGTACCTCTTCCTCTGAGGCAATGAGGGATTTGAGGGTCTGGTCCATGGTCCGCAGCTCCTCCTCCAGCTGTCTCACTCGGCTGGGGTGGGAAAGGGGCCAGCAGAGAGCAGGGTCACGGATGTGCTGGGGGGTGCGATCCCTCTGCCTCCCCCCCACCCCACACACACCTCCCCGTCCCCACAGGGACGCTCGGACACCCCTGTCCCCACACGGACACGGCATGGGGGTGGTGTGGGACCCCCCCTGGGAGCCCCCCGCTCACCTCTCCGCAACCTCTGCCCTCTCCTCCGAGCGCTCCAGCTCTCCCTCAAGGACGACCAGCTTGCGGGCGACCTGTTGGTGGCATCAAAAAGAAGGTGTCAGCCCCAGAAAAGGGGGTGTAAGGCCACAAGGGGTGTCCCCGGGGGGACACCGGGGGACGGGGCACGCACCTCCTCGTATTTGCGGTCAGCCTCCTCTGCTATGTGCTTGGCCTCCTTCAGCTGCATCTCCTGGAGCTCCATCTTCTCCTCGTCCTTCATGGCCCTGTTCTCGATGACCTTCATGCCTCTGAGGGAAGCCAAAGCAAGGAGATTAGGAGGTTTCTCCAAGGAGAGATGTTATGGCTGTGGGTCGAGGTGGCACCTACACCTCCTGCCTGCCCCTGCCATCCTCCAGCCCCAGCACCACGGGGCAGTGCCCGGGGACAGCGGCACCCCCTTGGCCACCCCGTGCCGGTGGCACCCCGGGGATGCTGCTGAGCACAATTAAAGCAGCAGAGATGCCCCATTCTGGGGACACGTCCTGGAGCAAAGAGCTGTGGGCATGGTGCCTCTCAACCAGGCTGGTCCCAAACTCATCCCTCATCCCTCAGGAGCTGCTCCTTGCACCGTGCAGGAATCCCCTCTGCGGAGAGCAGGGGGCTGCTGGTGATGGAGGGTGACCCGATACGACCCTGGCTGTGCCCCCCCCCGTCACACCTCTCGCTCTCATCCGCCGCCTTCTCGGCCTCCTCCAGCTTCTGCAGGGCGGTGGCCAGGCGCTCCTGGGCCCGGTCCAGCTCCTCCTCCACCAGCTGGATGCGGCGGTTCAGAGAGGCCACCTCAGCTTCAGCCTGGGGAGCACAAAAACACAGGGTCACCGCCCGTCCCCAGTGCATTTTTCAGCAGGAAAATGTGCATTTGCCTGGAGCACCCCTTTGTGCCGTGCTCGCCCAGCTGGGACACGCGTCCTGTTTGCCCACCCCAAGCACCTCGCTCGGTGCCACACAGCCCCGGAGGTGGAAGGGGTGCGCTCCATGGGGCAGCACGGGGTTTGGGGTTTGCAGAGCCGTGAGTAAAGGAGGAGGAATGCCCTGTGCAGATTCGCTCCCGAAAAGGAGATGGGAGCCACTTGTGGATTTCCTGTTTACGGAGGCAGCGGCGGAGCCAAGCGGCCGGGACGCCCTCCCCAGCCCCACACCACCGAGCCCCACTGCGCCGTGGGGCCATTTGGGGCCCCCGTGCTGCCCCCCCTACTAATTTACAGCCCGGTGCCGGGGGGCAATGGAGCGAGTCGCCCTCGTCGGGCTGGCTCCTGGCCAAACCTCCTATGGGGCCGGTGGGACCGGGTCCCATTATTTCCCCTCCCCAACCTCCTCCCCGTTCGTTCCCAGGCTCCCCGCGCGCGGGGCCGTCCGGGAGAGGTGGCCCTGGCCCCCCGCCAGCCCCTCGCCGCCTGGCCCCCGCGCTCTTTCCATTTGCTAAGGCCCTCCTGCTCCGTCACCGCCGGGAAACGCTGCCTCAGCAGCTCCCGGCCCCGCAGGGAGGGGGCTGCTGGAAGGAGAGGGGAGCAGGGATTAAAAAAAAAAAATTAAATTTAAAAAAATGGGGTGCAAAGGGATGGGCAGTGCTGAGAGCATTGTGCCTCCTGCTTATTCATGGGCTGGAGCAGGCCTGGCACCGCGCTCCAGCAGCACCCTGGGGACACGGAGCAGGGAGCCAGGCGGGGATGTCCCCATACCCACCACCACCATCCCCTATAGGTGAGGGATGGCAGCACCTCTGCTGACGCTCTGCATCGCACCAGAGGGGGCTTTTTTTCCCCGGGGATGACCCCCCCGAAGTGGGTCAGAGCTGCCCGGATGGGCAGTGGGGAACATGAGCTCGCCGTCAGCGCCTGGCGAGCGGGGAACCCGATCTGCGGCGGCAGGAAGGGGCCGTTTCCTCCGCACGCAGCCCCGGGTGACAACAGCCCGGGTACCGCGCCCAGCTCTGCCGCCCCTGATAGCGCTGGGGATGTTACGGGAGCAAGAAGGGGGGGGGAGCAGAGGAAAAAGGGAAAAAAAAAAAAAGCACGAAAATAACGCCCAACAACAACAAGAGAAAGCAAAAAAAAATAAAGCCGCAGCAGGAGCGAGCTGCCGCCTGGAAACGCCGTCCCGCTGCCACGGGGTGGGAATTGCAGCCCACAGTGGTAAATAGGGGGGTTTCTCCCCAAAAAGGGACACGATGGGGAGCAGGGGGGCTCTGCTGGGGAGCCGGACACAGAGCCTGGGTGGGGGGCTCTCTGCTGAGCCCCCGAGGGGGGCACCTTTCCCGGGGGCTGCCAGCCCCAGCCCAGCTGAGGCGCTGAGCTGGACGCTCACCGGGGAAGCCGTGGCGAGCCCCACATGGGAGCATCCCTACCAAGGCCCACCTCTGGTGCTGGGGACCCTGCCCGGAGCCCCCCACCCCGTACCCACACCCAGGGGGCTCCCACACACCGGGATGAGCACCCCGTGCCCCCCAGCCCCCTCTCCCCAGTGCAGCAAGGATGCCGGTGCCAGGTCCCCCCAGGGCGTGCCATGGGGCACCTGGGGAGCGGCCACTTGTGCCCGTAGCGGGGTGGCCAGCACCCACGGGACCGTGCAGCTCTGCTCCTCAGCATCCAGCCCTATGGGGCCAGCGGTGCTGCCCCAGCAGCGGGGGGTCCCTGGGGTTCCCCAGCCCCAGGAGCCTTACCCGCTCCCGGGCCTGCCGCTCGGCATCGGCCTCCCGCTGCAGGTGCTCGGCGCGCTCCTCCGCCTCGTCGGCCACCTGCTGCAGGCTCTGGATCTTCTTCTTGACGGCGTCGATGGAGCTGATGCCGGCCATGGCCGTGCGGCCGGCGGGGAGCACAGGGAGGCCGCAGCACCGAGCCCTTTGTGGGATCTGCCTGGCTCGGGCAGGAAGCGCTCAGGCGGCGGCCGCTCCCGCCGCCCGCCCTGCCTCCATCCCTTCCTGCTCCTCCTCCTCCTCCTCCTCCTCCTCCTCCTCCTGCTGCTCCTGCTGCTGCTGCCATGGGCAGACCCAGGCCCGCTGCGCTCCCTGGACAGAGCGCGCGGTGCCCCCCGGGTAGGGCGCATGGGTCCCCGTCAGGCTGGGTGCCAGCCCCCTCCCCAAAAAAGCAGATACGTGCCCTCCCCGGGCACAGCAAGTGTCCCCCCAGCCTGGGCAAGACGCACGGTGCCTTCAGAGCAAGGCACGTTGCCACCCACCCTGGGTGGGGTGCCCCCCAGCAGGGCACATTGACCCCCCCCGGGCAGGGTGCATGGCTCCCCACCCAGCTAGGGCACTGGGTGGTGCCCCCCAGCATAGGGGATGCAGCCCCCTCCTAAAGCAGGGCACGCAGTGCCCCCCAGGGCTCCAGCAGAGAGGCAGAGAGGAGTTTGGAGATGATTTTTCTGGGGAACAGGGGTCTGGGGGTGCCCTGTGAGCCCCCACGGGCAGGGGAGCAGCGCACACATGGGTGCTGCCCAGCTGCAGAGCCAGGGGAAGGATTTCTGCCCCACAGGCAAGAGGGATGGGGCAGGAGGGCAGAGCCCACTCCGGGGCATCCCCTGGGGTCCCTTGGCACAGGGTGCCCCCGCTGTCTCACCCCTTTGGCATCTTCTCCCCAAGCTGGGACCTGGCCAGCAGCCCCACAGAGACCCCCGGGGCCAGTGCCCCAGGGGAGAGGTCGGTCCCTGGCTCCGTGCCCCCCAGCTCTGTGCCCCCCAGCTCCGTGTTCCCATCTCAGCAGATGCCCCGGTGCATCAGGAGGGCACGGCACGGTGGCACAATCTGCCTGAAGGAGCTCTGGCAGCTCACACCTGCCTCCAGGGACAGATCCGAGCCATTCCCGGGCTGACCCCACTGGCTGCCACGGGGTCTGGGGCCACCCTAGGGGGGCCAGCACCCAGCCATGCCACTTGGGGTGGGTCCTGCAGCCCAATGTCCCCAGCCAGGTGGCATGGGGGCACGTGGCATCGGGCTTGGCCCCTCTCCCAGCCTGACACTTGGGCACAGAGAGGTGCACGGGGCACAAACGGGGGGTCCCAGTGGCCTAAGGGCAGTGGGATCAGTGGGATCTGGCAGCGGGGGACAGGCTGTGGGGGCAGGCACCCCGTTCCAGGCTGGGTGCCTCCTGCCCTGGCCCCACCCAGGGATGCAGTCACTTCCCAGCAGCGCCCGTTCCCTCCCACCGGCTCGGGGAATCGCCAAATAAGAGCAAAGTCTCGGCTTGGGAGAGCACCGGGGCGGGAACTTGGGTGAAGCCTCCGGGATCGTGGCCTGGGAACGGCTCAGCCTGCCTTTCCCTGCGCCCGGCGGGTGGCTGGGGACGGGCTGGCCACCGAGGACAAGTGGGGACGGAGGGGCTGCGGGGGATAAACCCTGCTCCGGGCTGGCGTGCTGTCCCCTCATGGGGGACACGGAGGGGATAGGGCCGTGGTGGCCTCGTCAAGCTGCTGGGAAGGATCTGGAGCTGCCAACCCTGCGGCTCGGTCCTGCTGCTCCTTGCTGAGTGGGAGCACTTAGCGCTGTCAGCACGTCCCCATCGGGGACACCTGGGGACTTCCAGGTCTCGCACGTGGCACAGGCTGTCCCCGCGCACGGCACAGCCTCCTGCCCCTTCCTGACGCTGCTCCTTCACCACAACCCCACTCCAGGCCCTTCCCCTGAGGGGCCAGGGGCTCCCCGTCCCCAAATCTGCCAGGACAGGGCTCTCCTCACCAAAACCCACGACCTTTCCCTGCTGCTTTGGAGCGCTCTTGGTGCCACCAAGCACCCTTGTGTCCCCTCCGTGCCCCACACCAAGCTCACTTCATCCCACACTGATCCCACCAGTACAGACCAGTACAGACCAGTACAGACCAGTACAGCCCCCAGCGCAGCCCCCGAGGCCAGCCCAGCGTGCCTGCCTCTTGCCAAGACCAACCAGCCCTTCCAGAGGGTTTCCAACGTTTTAACAACTTTGTGTCTGAGTTTGGGCAGTTCCAAGGGGTCAGCAAACAGCCCCAGAGCCTTCCTCAGGACAAACTTCCCAAAACTCCTACAGGAGGCAGCCGGGCACAGGGGGACACTGGCACCTCGCTGTCCAGAGCTGGGGGGCGCACAGGCTGGGGACACCCCCTCCTCGCCCCAGGAGCCTCTCTGGGGACAGCCATCCCTCTGTCCCTTTTGGAAGCACCAGGGATGATGCAAGGCAGGCACTGGTGGGACTGGGGACACTGGGGTGGGTTTCAGGCTCTGTCTCCTCTTTCCCCCATCCCCATTTCTCCGCTGCCACCACCTCCTGTGCCCATGGAGGTTGGGGGTCCCTACTGGGTGGCACTGGGAGGGGGGGCTCCGGTCACTCCTGGGGGCTCTGGGCCACCCTGGGGCCATTGCTGCTGCTGCTTGTCCCTGCCTGCTGTCCCCTGCCCTTGGCGGCCACCTTGGGGATTTGACGCATCCCCCCCGTTTGGCTCCACGAACCAGCTGGGATTGAATTTTTGGTTCTCAATCCTGAAAAGCCTGGCCGTGCCCCTGCTGGCCGCGCTCCCGACGGCTCCCCTTTAGCTTCTCCTCCAGTTTCCAGGGTTGGCTTTCATCAGAGAAGGACTGGCCATCAAAAGGAGGGTTTATTTATAGGGTGTCAAATGCCCGCTGTGGCACCGCGGGTCGTTATACCCCGCTCCCGGGCGGCTCTGGGGCTGCGCACAGCTGTTCCGCCCTTCATCCCCGCCGGGCACAAGCCAATTTCAACACCTTCCTAACATCTCCCCGGCGGGATCCATTTCCCAGGAGAAACATCAGTCATGGCCCTAAATAAAACTCTTCCTGGCCTTTCCCTTCCCAGGGTACAGGGCGGCACGTTGGGGGTCCCCCCCACACGCACCCCAAGCATCCTATGCAACCGGTGCCCAACACCTGGCCAAGGGCGAGGACTTTTCCCATTTCTCCACTCTTTTCCCCTTTTCTACCTCATTTGAGCAACGATGTTCAAGTTTTCCCTACACATACATGGGCGACGCTCACCGGGGATGTATGTCCCGGTGCGTTTTGGGGCGCTGGGGCTGAGCGTTGCCCCCAAACCTGGGGGTACCCCTGTGGGATGTGCCCAGCACCCGCTGCCCATCCCGGTGCCGGCGTGGCGGGGCCGGATCCTGCCACCCTCCCCACCAATATTTCCCATATAAGGCTCCCCTCTTCCTTCGCCCCCCCCCCCCCGGGGTCCGGCGCCCGCGCAGGGGAGGGGAGGGGTTGCCTACGTACGTCCGTGGCTTTCTTCTCCGCCTGCTCCAGCTTCTCCTGGGCCTCCTTGACGGACTCGGAGTACTTCTCCACCTCATCCTCCGTGCCCTTCAGCTTCTTCTGCAGGCCCTGCTGTTCCTCCTCCAGCTGTGGAAGGGACGGGTTATGGGGTGTCAGGGGGGGGCTGGCACGAGGTTGGCAACCCCAGGGCACCTACCCATCAGGGCACGGTCACCCTCATCCCATTGGCATTGTCCAGTTGATTTTGGGGCCACACGTCCTCAGGGAGCCACAGGTCCTTGGGGTCGGAGGACCCCTGAGCCCAGAGAGGGCAATGGGGTCCCAATGTGGGGACACCAGGAAGGTCCCCACCTCTTGTGGCTGAGGTGGGAGCACGCTGTCCCCAGGGGTGTCCCTGGCAGAGGGACAAGGGGGTGGCACTAGGGTGTCCCACCAAGACCCAAGGAGTTTTGGGGGTGCTGAGGGGCAACAGGGACAACAGGCTGGGACACTGATCCCCAGGGCTGGACACCCAGCGGGGTGAGGTCCCCAGGGTGACTGTCCTTAGGGTGGGGGTCCCCAGGGCTGAGTGTCCCCAGGGTGGGGGTCCCCAGGGTCGGACACCCATCGGGGCAAATCCCAAGGGCTGGGGACCCTTAGGGCTGGGATCCACGAGCTGAACACCCATCAGGGCGAGATCCCCGGGGCCAAACCCCTTTAGGGTCAAGCTCCCCATCAACTTTTTTTTTTTTTTTTGGGGGGGGGGAGTTCAGTGCGACACCCACCTGCTTGCAGCGGTCCTCCGCCTGCTTCTTGTCCGCCTCCGCCTGCTCGGCTCGGTCGATGGCGTTCTCCTTGTCCAGTTTGAGCATCTGCATCTTCTTCTTGATGGCCTCCATGGTGGCGGTGGCGGTGGCGGTGGCGGGGCTTGGAGCACGGGGGGCGGCGGGGCTCGGAGCACCGGGGGCGGCGGCAGCACCGGCACTGAGCCCCCCGCCCCGCCGCGCCGCCTAAGAGCCGGGGAGGGGCCGCGCCGGGAGGGGGCCGCCCCGGTACCTCCCCCGCCGCCCGCCAGCACCTTTTAGGGACAGGCTTCGACACCGGCACCGAAAGGGACGGGAGAACGAGAAACGGGGGGGGGGGGGTACCGGGGGGAGGCACCGACAAGGCACCGGGAAGCCGCGGGGGAACCTGGAGAGGGGCGCGCCGGTGGGGATGGGTGGGGGGCACCGGCAAGGGACGGCGCTGGGGACAGCCCAGGGCTCTGTGTTAGGGTTACCCTGGTGGCACTGAACTGGGGACACCCCCAGGGGACAGCGCTGGGGACACCCCAGGGGGACAGCACTGGGGTCGCCCTAGGGGGACAGCAGCGGGGGTACCCTGTTGGCACTGCGCTGGGGACACCGCGGGGCTCTGGGCACACTCCGGGTGGCACACAGGGATGCCCACGCGCTGTAAAACCCCACAGGCACAGTTTTGTGGGGCCGCAGGGACCTTCCTCGTGCTGCGAATGCGCTGGGGGCACCCGAGGACTGTGGTGATGCTGCTGGACCCCGGTGTCCCCTGGGTTGTTTGTGGTTCCTGTCACCCCTTCAGGACACCGCGCTCCCGGCACCGCAGCCCCCTGCTGCAGTCCTGTGCCCCCCGGAGCTGGTGGCACCCCTAAACTCACAGCGTTTTGCTCAGCCCTACGCAGATCCCCGCTGCAATAACGCTCCTGTTTCCCAGCACCAGTCCCATCCCCTCCCTGTCCCCCTGCCACCCCCTGAGGGTGGCCGCGGTGGGATCCCCAGTGTCCCCCCCTGCACCGGGCAGGCTCTTCCCAGCACAGCCCTCCCAGGACACCCCTCGGTGCCGCCCCGGCATCCTCCGCGCAAGGCCTGGCAGAAAAACACAGAGGGAAAATCCTTTGGGAGCGAAGGGAGCCGAGCACTGACCTCCCTCCCCATCCCGCTGCTGCGTCACGGCGGGGCAGGGGCCCCGCTTCCATGGGGGAGCCCCGGTGCCACCCCGATGCCACCACTGCCTCGTGCCCAGGTGCCACCGACCCCAGTGTGCCGACACCTACACGTCCCCTAGGATGGCATTTCGGGGGGACAGGGGGCGTGCGGGCTGCCCTGCTGCTTCTGCCCTAAATAAACCGTATTCCGCAGGCAAAAAAAATGCAAACCCTTCAGATCCCGGCTCCTCCAAAAATACCCCGTGCTTTAGCCCTGCTCGTAAATGCTTCTGGCACATTCCCAGCTGCAGGGTGGGCTGGGGGACGGGGGCGGGGGCTGGGATGGGGCAGGGTGGAGGGGACGTGTGGGCTCCCCAAGCCCATCGCGCCCCGGCTGCATCCAGCCCGGCACAGGGCTCCCCAAAATGGGGTGAGTGAAATCTGCCCTGGGTTTTTGGCAGAGGGGCGCAGAGAGCTGGAGGGAACAGCTTTGTGGGGGCGACCCTGAGAGTGCAAGACAAATTTTGGGGGTCATTGGGAGGGCATGAGGGGCGTCTCCCAAGGACCAAGGGGCTGCCGGAGCCATGCAAAGCAGCGGAGCCGCGGCTGGAGGCTGGCGAGCGGTATTAGTGCTGACGAATTAGGCACATATTTGGAGAAGGAGAGCCAGGAACCGCCAGCACACCGCTCTCGGGGGGGAGGATCCATCTCCCGTCGTTCCCAGATGAGGATGGATGGCCTTTGGGGGAAGATTCATCAGCTCGGGGCAAAGCTGGTGATGTGCACGGTGCGAGCAGCCGGGAAGGGGCTGAGGCTTCCCAAGCCCGGATGAATTTGGGACACGGGCACCTTGTGACTGAGGTGCCCCAGGTCCAAGCACCGCTCGGAAAATAACCCCCCATAACACAGCCGGGGAGATTTACAGGGCCAGGGCTCTGGCCAGGCTGAACCCTGCCCCGTGTCCCTCCCCTGGGGATCTACTGCTGCCATCTGCGTCCCCTCTCTCGCCCAGAGGACATCGCCGGGGTCCCCGCTGCTGGCAGCCCCCTGCCCAGGGGCAGGAGGGGCAGGGGGTGGGCTGTGCCCTCTCGCCCCTCCTCAGAGGGCTTCGTGTCTGTCCGTACCTGGTCGGGAGCCTGGTGCCGGGTCAGGCCAGCGCAGATTGTCAGGGGACAGCTGGGAGGGCTGGGATTCCTGCGGGGCGCACAAATCCCCCCTGGAGCCAGGCCACCGCCGCGGGAGAGCGGCCCCAAAGCAGGGGGGACGGCACCTCCACCCCCCCAGGATCAGCGGGGATGTTGTGGGGGGGGGGGACCCCAGAACAGCTCCAAGCCCCCTGGTGTGGCCACCACCACCCCTGCAAGCTGAGACCTTGCAGATTCGTGACATAAAAGACCCATCCTCCTGGGTGTTTGCTGGTGCCAGGGGGAATTTTGGGGACAGGGGGGACACAGGGCACAGGGGATGACAGAGGTGTTCCCGCTCCACCCCGCAGCATCCCTAGCACCACTCGGGTCCCCCCAAAAATGAGTGATGGGGTGGGAGCAGGTGGGGCAGGGGCCGTGCTGGGGCAGCTGCCACCCACACAGGTCGGCCCCGGGGGGGATATTTTGGGGCCTGAGCTCAACGCCGGCAGCCGGGGGGGCTCCGGCTGCATTCCCAGCCCCACGGCACGCCGAGGGACACAGCCCCAAGCGGGGAGGCTCGGGGGGGGGGTGAGCGTAGCGGGGGGCTCCCCACCTGCACCCCCTCCTGCTGCCCTGCCCGGGGATATTTTCGTCCGTCCGTCCGCAGGAATGGGGCCAGGAGCGCAGAGCCCCGGGGGCAGGTGCTGCGCTGGAGCCCGGCCGGCCCCCAAATCCCCCAGCAACAAAATCCCCCCCTGGCCCCCGGCGGCACCTGCGAGGGCCGCACATGGCTGGCAGCGGGGGTCCGGGCGGCCGGGTGCCGCTGCTGGACGTGCCTCGAATATTTTCCGTGCTGGAGAAGCGCCTGCGCCACGCTCCCCCCCCACCCCCCCAAACCCAGGAGGGCTGGCGGCCCCACAGGGGGGTCTGCGCCCCTGCCCACCACGTCCCGCCGTCCCAAATCCACCCAGCAGCCCCCAGTTTTGAGATGCTGGCACCCCCAGGGATTGCCAACCCACCCTTTTCCTTGCGCCTTCCCCACGGACACGTGCACGGAGAAAGCAGGAAATCCATTTTTATTGATGAAGGCATCTTGTCAAAGAGCCATCCAAATCCCCATACATCAACCCCCGAGCTTCGGGGGAAAAGCTGGATTCCTTTCATGTGTAACAGGCGATGCTTAAAGTATCAAAATAGTGAGAGAAGCCTCAGCAAGTGCAAGGGATAAGGGATAAAGGGGGGGGTCCCGGAGCCACGGAGGGGTGAGGAGCTGGTCTCTGGGCCCCTGGGCAGGCGCTGGGCTGCGGGGGGTTAGTGGGGACGACGTGAGCGAGGGGGATAAATGAACTCTGAAAAGCTGCAGGCTCGATACTAAAGAAATTTAAAAGTTATAAAAAATACTGAGTCTCAGAAAACAACGCAGGCACTTGGGAAGGAGGAGGAGGAGGAGGAAGGCAGAGCTGGCTGGGAGGGCGGGGAGGAAGGGCCCCAGGGAGAGGGTGACGAGGTTGGGGGAGAGCAGCTCTGGGGCAAAGGCATCTCGTGCCTGCCCCGAGCAGAGGCACTGCGGTGGTGCGAGGATGCTCTGGGGAGGCTCGGTGCCTCCCAGGGATGCTGAGGAGGAAGAGGGGCGGGTGGTTCAGCCAGCAGTAAGGCAACAGAGGTGAAAGGCGGCTCGGTGCAAGAGCGTTAGCAAGAGGAAGGTGCAGAGCTGCTCCTTGCAGCCCATGGCACAGGACAGGGCGAGACACCAGCCTGTCCCCCCGTCCCGCCTGGAGGAAGGAGAAGAAGAAGAAAGGAGCGAGAGAGAGGGCGACAAAGGCACGAGAAGAAAAAAATAAAAAATAAAAATCCTGAAAAGGGTTTAGAGGGCTGGACCCACCGCAGGAGGAAGCCCCCCCGGCCCTCTTCAATGAGGCTTAGCAGCGGGGGCACCCGGGGCTGGTCCAGGACAGGCTCCCACTCCCGGCAGCCCCCCGAGGTGCGCGGGGAGGCGGGCTGGGCGGCGAAGCGGAGGTGCTGGTGCGGCGCCTGCTCGGGGCGGTGCTGCGCGGTGTCTGGGTTAGTCCCGGCGCGCCGGTGGTGGTGCAGGCAGGGCTGTGGGGTACCCGAGGGCAGCCCGGCGTTGCTCGAGGTGGGGGGTGTCTTAAATAGGAGCCGGCGGCAGCAGTCTGTGCAGTGAGTGGCGGCAGGGCTCTGCCCGGGCGCAGAGCGGCGGGGGCGCGCGGGGCTCAGTTCTGCTCCTCGTCCCGCAGCTCGGAGGGCAGGAACTTGTACTGCTGCTGCCGGATCATGGCCAGCTTCTTGCGCGCCTCCTCCAGCTCACGCTCCTTGCGCAGCATCTCCTCCTGGGCGGCGATGATCTGCCGGGGGAACGGGGAGAGATGGGTGCCTCGTGCGCCCCTGCGGCTCTCGCTCTGCGCCCTGCCACCATCCCCTCCCACCTCGCCGTCCCAGAGCAGCCCACACCACGCCCCTTGGGTGGCACAGGAGAGCGTGTGGAGCTCCCCCTGCCCCGCTGGAGCTCCCCCTGCCCCACCGCAGCAGCCCCGCTCCTCACCTGTGCGATCCCCCCCACCATCTTCTCCTTCACCACCACCGTCTCGTCGTGGTCCTGGAAGGCGGCCGCCTTCTGCGCTGCCTTCACCAGGTTGTCCGACGCTCTCTTCACCGCGTTCCCGGCCGCCTGGAGCAGGAGAAGAGGTGAGGGAACAGCATCCTAAGCCTGGGGCACAACTTACAACTTGGTGGGGGCGCCCCTGTCCCAGCCAGGCAGGAGAGGAGGCCGGGCGAGCTGGGAGCTGCCGGCAGAGCTCCCCGAGGATGGCTCGCTGCCACCAGCGCTGCTCATGACCATTTCAGGCACTGCTGCTCCCAGACGGGTGCTTGTGGTGCTTCCCTCGCTCTGCTCCCATCCAAGCA